CACCACTGATGTAAGACATCGCTCACCACTGATGTGAGACATCGCTCACCACTGATGTGAGACATCGCTCACCACTGATGTGAGACATCGCTCACCACTGATGTGAGACATCGCTCACCACTGATGTGAGACATCGCTCACCACTGATGCTGTTAGCTGTGGCCCGGAATCGAACTGGGGTGCTCCTTAGTTGGTTAAACGTGTCCCTTGGGAGCCCTGGAGCCACGAAGCGCCTCTCGGGGCTGGGCCATGGCCACGTTCCATCGCTCACGCCATGACCGCAGCCCGTCTTGCTTTGCTTCCCACAGCTCCTAAGCAATGCCTCGTGTGTCGATCTGCCCTGGGGTTACAACTCGGTGGGAAGGAAATAAATCCGTATTAGTTCATTATTTACCTCGTATTGCTTGCACATCAAACGTTTATCCTAAACGTAAATTGAACGTCCAAACGGGTAATGGATGTGGAAAGCTGCCAACTTTTTAATACGGTATACCATTTAAAATGTACCAGCGCACCTGCCTAGATCGCGTGTGGAACTATCGTGCTCTTCTCGTTCGCAGTTCACCTCAGGAGTTTGGCTTTGGAACACAAGTGACAATTGTGTTATTTTTTTCGATTTAAAGCTTTCGTGACTGCAGGGATTCATCTTCTTGGTTCTTTCGGTAAAGTCACGTAGAATGGAAATAACATAATAAAAATAAAACATAAGGCTACTTGTGTTGTGGCCGAAACGTCGTGAGAATTTCATTTTATTATGTTTTATTTTTATTATTTTATTTCCATTCTACGTGACTTTACCGAAAGAACCAAGAAGAGTTGTGTTATTGCCATCCATGTTCTTGCGCTGCTGTGTGTGATCCCAATTGGAATAATTTAAGATATATTTTTCAGCACTGGGATAGTCTTTGGCCAGTACCAGTTACATTGTGTTGTGGGGTTTTTTGTTTTAGCTATGAGGTAGGAATCCAGAAAACCCGGAGCAAAGCCATGCTGTACAAGGGGTGAAGATGCAAAACTCCACGCAGAAAGGTGTCCGGTTCGGGAATCAAACCCAGGCCCTTGTTTGCTGCGAGACACGAATGTTACCACTGCATCGCAACTCTTTAAACGAATGCATGCATTATTGCGGCTGGCAGGGGATCGCAGAAACCGCTGTGATCTGCACGCTCACGTGGATCTGGGAACTTTTGCGAAGTTCCCACAATCTGCGCAGCACGGCAACTAATGGGTGCCTGCTGGAGGCTCTCCTAAGAGCCCCCTTCAGTCCGGTGGCCGTGTGTCTGTGGTCCCTGGCACGCAGTGTCACACACGACGCGCACGGTTTTAAATCATTACAGAGCATCGAACTCAACACAGGCATCATGCACAGAAGCTGCACGAGAAAGATGGACGGAAACTCGAGTCGGTTTCAGGAGAGACAGGTGAAACGTGTTCCTACGACCGAACCTTATCTGATCTCGTCAATATCTCGCAACGCTAAGCAGGTTCGAGCCTGGTTAGCCATTGGATGAGAGACTGCCTGGTGTTGTTGATTTGGGCTACGAGGTGGCTGGGAAACGGAAGCACAGCGATGGAATCTTGTAAGCAGTGAGACTTGGTTTGGAAACAATGGAGCCCCCCACATGAGGGGATGGAGCCCCCCACATGAGGGGATGGAGCCCCCTCACATGAGGTGATGGAGCCCTCACAGGTCGCGTTTGTGGCTTCACGGTCAAACACTGCAAGCCTGTATTCATTTTTCTTGAAGCAAGACGTTTGAGGACAAAAGACCCCATGAATGTGGAATCCCTGAAAAGTTTACAACGCCGTTTTTATTGCGGTTTGTGTCCGCGATGCTGCGAGAACACGGGCGAGTCGACCCAGGGTGGACTCGTGCAGAACACAGCCGAGCGGAGATCGCGTGGATCGGGGGTGCGGGGCCCGGAGGAGGGGGCACCCCTCCCCAAGATAACTCTCGCAAGCATCGTCATCATCGTCATCATCATCGTCATCATCGTCGTCATCATCGTCATCATCATCGTCATCATCATCGTCGTCATCATCGTCATCATCATCGTCATCATCATCATCGTCATCATCATCATCGTCGTCATCATCATCATCGTCATCATCATCGTCATCATCGTCATCATCTTCGTCATCATCGTCATCATCTTCGTCATCATCGTCATCATCATCATCGTCATCAGTTTAACACGTAGGCTTTCGCGACCAATATTATTCATAAAGGTTTTTGGGTTAGATCGCGTTATTTATAAATGTGTCGCAACCCTCCACCACCCGACACGGCCAATCAGTAATAAAAGTGTCACGTTGACAAAAGACAATTATTTCACTACTTTAACCCACCGGTGCATTAAAGAGTGAATCCACAACATTTACAACTTTTTTTGTACGGCGTTTCGCTGGTAATTACATCCAGCATCATCGGGCAATTTGCCAGAATACTATTCTGGTGGGCTAAAGTAGTGAACTATTTTGTCTTTTGTCAACGTGACACATTTTATTACTGATTAGCCGTGTCGGGTGGTGATCTAACCCAAAAACCTTTATTATGAATCATCGTCATCATCATCGTCATTATCGTCATCATTACTGGCTCGCTGACCACAACACTGTGGAAGCAGGGAGGGTTGTTGGATCGCACACATTTCATGAAACTCCCTTCCCGTGGGTTATCTTGGTGTCATAATACCCTCGCTTGCCAGGAGAAGGCAGGACAGTGAATGTGCTCCTCACCTGTTCCATCTGGGATTGGATAGAGCGTTTCCTCCTCGATCGTACGGGGTTTCTCCGGGTGCTCCGGTTTCCTCTCACGCATAAACACTCATTCATTGGCCGACAATGCTTTAATACATAGCGGAGCGCAGAGCGTGGGGCAATTGTTGGCTCGCCGCGTGGTTGCCTTCTTCCTCGTCTGTGGTTCCTGCTCGCGCCTCTGAGCTATCCTCTCTCTACGAGAACGAGCGAAGACTGTGCGGCGCATTACGAGTTGAAATCATTAAGATTGCTTAACTCAAAACCTTCCGATTGCAGGCGCTCTAAGTGAGCACGGCACGCCTCTTCTGGGTACGCGTCACGGACACTCTACACAGCAGCAGCCTGGGCGGCTCATTGAGTTCTGTGACTGATGCTAATTTTAACTGCGTTCCCCGTGGGCTACGATACACAAATGATTCCTTCCATCTGGGATTGGAGTCGCTGATTCTCAAACGGAGGGTGGGGTGCCAGGAGACGGAATTCCACTTTCTCATGACGAGGCCGAGTACAACCCTAATTAACTACAACAGTCACGGCCACCTCTACCCCAGACAAACTCACCAGGCGGTGCTTACCTCCCCACCCTAGGGGCTGACTGTGATTATGCTGCTGATGATAATGGTTACAATTAGAATGCAGCGTACTGCATACACATGCAGAGATTGTTACCACTGCATGTGATGGATTGCAGCAATTGGCTGTGATTACACACAGGTACACGCGCGCGTGTGTGCGCGCGCACACCTCGCTGGAGACGCGCACACGCGCGCGCATTGGGAGCGGTGGCGCAATGGTTAGCGCACTGAGCTGCGTACTCGGGGCAACCTGTGTTCGAATCCCGCACACGACCAATAACAATGGCGAATATTTGGGCCTCCTTAAGGTCGACTCAGCTTCAAATGAATGCCTGGTGCGGTGTGTAAACATCAGCACTGGGGAGAGAAAAGCGGCCACATCGCCCCGCCGTGTCCCGTGCCTGCCTGCAGAGGTGCCCCGCTAACAGCACTTGGCCCAATAGTCTGTTAGAGGATATACGGGGGCTATTTGTATATGTGCGTGTGTGGACCTTGCTGCACACATATTGGCACACGTGTGAACGTGTACGAGAATGTGTCGTGGATCCGGCCTCTGGTTTGCTGGCCCCATGTGACTTCGCGGTCCGAAAACGACGAATACCACTCTGGAAAATGTGGCTCGGCTCGCGTGCTCCCCATGGACCCCGCGTCACTCGAAGCTGGGTTCAAAGGGGAAATTCTCTCGAGCTGCTACTGCGTTGGCGGTCGTGGTGCTCAAGCAAAATTTTAAATACAAAAAACATTCGTCACTACTACTGTGGCCTCATGAAAAATATACAATAGGCGACGTTTCGGGAAATGACCCATCTTCATCGCACCCATATGATGTATATGCAATGAACACGTGGATGTGCTTGTACTGCAGACCCACGCAGACTAAGACCCCCTAAATAACGCGATCTAACCCAAACACCTTTATTATGAATAAGATCCCCTGTATAGCCTTAACAGGCTGTCGGGGCAAAGTGATGTTAGCGAGCACTTATGAAGGCCGGCAAGGTTGAGTCGACCTAGCGGAGGCCCACGACCAATTCCAATAATCGTCACTGTTGATGGCCGTGAGCGGGAATCGAACTAAGGTCGCTGGATTCGTAACACAATGCGCAAACCACTACACTGCCGCTCCCCACCGATCTTTTCGCGCGCACACACACAGAGGAATACGTGTACGCGTGTTTGTGTGTGTCCATCATATACTGTATGTCAGTATAACACGTAGGAGGCTTTCGCGACCAATATCATCCGTAAGAGTTTTTTTTGGGTTAGATCGCGAAAATATAAATGTGTCGTTATACCCGCCACCACCCGACAGCCAATTAGTAAGGTCTGTCACGAAAACAGAACATGCCAGTTCGTTACTAGTACGTCAGTAATTACAACCGGCAACATCAGGCGAGATTTGTCACAAATTATGCTAGTTGTAATTACTGGGGAAACGTAGTACTCAGATTGTAAATGTTGCGGATTTGCACTCCAACACACCGGTGTGCTGTACTAATTTCACGACACATTTATATTTACGCGATCTAACCGCCAAAACACCTGTATTATGGATATACTGTATGTGCTATGAAGGACCATTTCCCAAAACGTCGCGCATTGTGCATGTTTTCTTTAAGACGACCGTGTTGAGTCGTTGCTTTAATTCAGAGGCGGCGCGCTTGGTGAGATTTGGGTTTTATTTAAACTTGGCCTGGGATCACAGGGACACGTTCCCCCTGTGTGCCGGCTTTAAACACACGCTGCTGGTTAACGCAAGTGTCAAGGTCAATGGGCCGATATGTGATGCATGTTTCGTGTTATTACTTGGCCAGACGGAAGAGACGAGTGACTAATGTATCATTCAGAATGCCGTGCCACGACTCTCGGTGACGTTTTAGAAGGGAAACAATTATGGTATATATTTCCACCAAAAAGTATAATTGGGCAGCTAAAAACGACAGATCCTGCTTCTTGTCTCCTTCCAATTGAAGCCACAAATAGCGCGACTTCCCATGTGTCTCTTGCGCACGATGGTAGCAGCAGCGATGTGTCGAGGTGCTGACGCCAATGTAGCGGTCAGCCAGCCACAACGAGAAGGAGGATCTCGTCCTATCGATCGGGTTCTGGCCACGGACAGGGTCCTTCTTTCGGACTTTAGCGCTTTTGATCGCATCTGTAATTCGAGTTAACGATGTCCATTTCGCCAGGATGACGGTGTCAGTTGTGTTGAAGGTGACACGTAAAGAGAAGGGCCTCCCGTCTCTCTTTACATCTCTCGTGCATGCATTGTGCGACTCCTCGTCTCAACGGTAGCACAGTATTGCAATGACTCACGGGATCTCCTGTTTATTATTGTTATTCATAAGGCCCCTGCTGCTGCTACTGCTATGTGGAAGATTCTCAAATGGCTTTTGTTGTCGAGGCTGAGCGGTAGCTCTGCTTTCCCCGAGACGGCGAGTGTGTGTCTCACTACAACGCGTCGCTCTAAAGCAATCAATCACCCAACCAACCCAACGCAGTCGTTGGCTGTGCACGTTGAATGTTGTACCGGGTCATGGCGTGTTAAACATTGAGCGGGGGTTTACATCGGTATAGCAACGTACGTGGCAGAGTTTAATTTCATAAAATAGAAAAAAAAACAACAAGACATATGTACATACGTAAGATTCAAATCACACGATGCCGTTCCACGTGTGCATTTGTAAACAAGACTGCACATGCTCGTCTCGAGTTACGCACACTCCGACTGCGACGCTAAGAGGAGAGGGAGCACGACTCGAGACGCTGCGGCCGCCGTCAGCCACTGAGACGCAGCGGTGGCAGCCGCCGCAGACACCACGAGGACGACGTTCCGAGGCAGGGACGGGGAGCAGGGCAAGGGAGAGAGAGAGGTGATGATGATAAGAATAATATGCTTATAACTACCGTCATCATTCCGCATTCATCCGAGCAAAAGGTTATTTCCTTACCGAACAGGGTTACGCCGTATTATTTAACAAATGAATACAGATATATCTGTCAATGCTTCCACTAAATATATCACTAAATATGAATAACTGTCAGCGACGCTTTCCTTGTTATGTTGCTGGGGGAACGCGTTCCAAGTGTGTGTGTGCGCGTTTTGCCCTGGCACCACACCTCCTCCTCTCTGCTTCGCCTCAACCACAGAAACTAGAGCTCGTGTTGGCTGCCGCGTCGGGAAATCGTAAACACTTTCGTGATATTCTCGGCGTTGATCTCACGTTTACGTACTGTATAGGTACAGTATACGCATCATTATCCGTTAGCGAATATTAACATAATCGTATTCATCCGCGGTGAACATAACTCGTATTCAGAATCATTAGTCAGACCACGTGTATGATCAATTCGGTTGTGTTGCAATGAGTGCCAAGTTACAACAACAACAACAAAGATCCCCCGTATAGCCTTAACAGGCTGTATGTAAGAGCGAGTGCTGTTAGCGAGCACCTATGAAGGCGGGCACGGTACACGAGGGGGTGGGTGACCAGCACCACGCCCAGCCGCCTTTGTCTCCCGAGTGGCGATGTTTACTACACACCGCACCAAGTTACAACAAACCCACCACGTGTCGCGCGGATGCTCCACCAGCCCCGACGTCCGCTGCTGTTGCTGCTGCTGCGAGCGCTCGTGTGACCGTCTGCTCGTTACTCGTGCCGGAGAGATGCGAACTGAAATATTCCATTCGTGCCAGCTGGAGACCACGAGGAGAATACATCGTAGGTGTTGGCGTGGTGTTATCAATGCCTTAGATCAATGCACGCGGCTGTGGCGCCTAGCGGGAACGTGTGCCTATAAACACACGCGAGATCAAATCATCGCGGATTGAGCTCTCATCCCGAGCAAATTGCCGGCTCACAGATGCAATGCACGGGAATACATTAGGGCAGTTCAGAGTGTAAGGTCATCAGCTGTTAGCAGAGTTAATTAAGGAAATACATTCATAATAAAGGTTATGAATGTACTGACCGCCTCTCGCACATTGTAGGCTTCGCAACGTCATTGCGTAAAACAGGTGCTAATGAAAACCAAATACCGTACCGATGTTTAATCATCATTTAATCGTCGTTAGTTTTTGTTTAAGCCAGCATTGCACGGTTTGCGCTGTGCTTTGTAAATGCGAGTTCAGTGATGGTCCATTACAGCCGAGACGAGCGAGGTAATCGAGGTCACTCTGTGACCCAGGGCTGGCAGCCCCGTGCTGGGCCACAGCCCCGGGCCCGGCGTCTCCCCTGCGGGCACGAGGCGCAGCTCGACAGCCACCATCGGCGTCGTCGGCGTGGAGACTATAACCACCTTGGTTAGCAGACAACACTGCCTCCTTCACATATCTGTCCTTCCAGATAAGCAAACACGAGTACATTTTACACATCCCATCAGCCCATGCGGCCTTTTGGGAGTGCATAATTTCAGCAGCATTGGCTTGACGCAAGTAAAAACCGTGGACCGGTTTCGGCATTCGCTGTCTGACCAGCAGATGTGGTGATAGACAAGGGCCCCTCTCGCTAAGATTTGTAAATAACACGCGGCACAATCATTCTCCACATCATTCAACTCGTCGTGGAGAAGGAAGTGGAGAGTGAAGTGGAGAATCAAGTGAAGAATGAAGTATGGAATTAAGTGGAGAATGAAGCGATCGGCCACAACACTGAGAGACCATTTCCACAATTGCGTCTCGTTGCTTTACCCCACGGGATTAGTTTGAGCGTGAACTGTAACGTCATCGTGGACAGACGCTGTGGTGTCTCAGACGTGGCTCGAAAAGAGCAACTGAGTCGCAAAACAAGGAACGTCACAACAATCACGAAATGCACACGATATAAAAGTGCCTTGTCCATAATTGATACAGCATTGATACACGATTGATTTATTGCATGCTCTTGTTTTTGTCCGTATTTCCCACGTGTGATTTACATTTTTGGCTTCAAATGAGACACGAGGAGGAAGACTGACATGTTGGGTCGAGATCACAGGCGGTGTCGCCCGAGCCTTTGGCCAATATTCACGTCTCTGGCTTCGTCAAAACGAAGGAAAATTGGTTCTGTCGAGGATTCGATTATCACTGACAACAGCGTGACCCTGCGTTTTGGGGCGAACGAAGAACCTGACCTCGCTTGAGGACGTGACTCGGGATGAGTGCGCATCGCGAAAACCGAGCACGTCGGAAAAGGATAACCATGGAAGTGCCATGGCTCACATCCGACTCCCCACGCCGACCGTTGCAAATCCGTACACGGTCAACGCTGACGAATGCCTCTCGTTAAGGGACACCGTGTCGTGAAGGATCCCCATAGCGAGTGACGCCAAGTGCGCGTGGCATCAGAGGACTGAGGGTCTTCAATCAGCCGACGTCACTCGGCGGGCGGATGAGCAGATGGAAACTTAAATCGGCCCAATCAGGCGCACTGTGGACGCCTCACGGTGCTCACCACAGGGACGCTCTAAACGACAACAGCAGCAGCAGCAACAACAATAACAGCCGCTTGAAGATGGCGTGAGGAAATCCAAATTCTCGTGACATTTCCATCGAACTGGAACCGGAATCGCTCTCGTGATGGAAGTGTGGCCGCAAGTTCACGTAACCGGCGTCTGGAAGGCGCAGTTTGGCAGCTACAGCGCTGCCCCGAGTCAGCGCTCGCCCCCTCTGTGGCTTCGTTCAAAGCGAGGGACCGACACCTGCGAAGGACGCAGCACTAGGGGTTACGGTTGGTAACTTGGAAACAAATTGAGGTACAAACTGTATTTAATACGCTCCAAAGAAACGCAAGTTGATATAGCAAAAGAGAAAATAAATGTTACACACTTTAACCATCCCAAATGTAAAAAATAATTTAAAAAATGTAAAAATTGTTTTAAAAGTCCATTCAATGCAAACTAAAGGAAATTCACAAACTAAAAGCTGTGACAATTAAAAAAATAGTTTGTAAACTTCGTATGTATTAAGGATTAACACGAATAAACTACAAATCATAATACTGTACTTTTGAAACAAATTAATAGTGCAAATTTAAAACAACTCAATTAACTGGAATCAATTCCAGACGAATAGCTGGAAGACATCTGCTAAAACACATAAACCGCTGTCTCTGTTTACAATACAGTCTGTGCACGTAGTCTATTAGAGTGCTAGACCTACGTCATGCTCTGGGGTTAGCCAATTGTAAGTTAACATGAACGACTGCCCCTCGTTCCCCTGTGACTGGTTCACTCATTGGGAAGTGTGCTCTCTGTACAGCTTCAATCCTTTACTTCACCGCGCAAGAGGCCACCGACAAGTCAGTCACTGCCCCCATCGCCAGTTTGTCTATGGGATGAGCCCTGTTGAGATTCAGCAGATGAATAACCTCATTGTGACGTCAATATCGCGGCCTTAGTGAACGTGCCAAGTCCCTCGTGTGACGTCCCAGCCCTTGCCTCGTGCGGTAGGCGCGACAGAGTGACGTGGTGAGGCGTCTCTGCACGAGCCAGGGAAACCACCCGGGAGCCGGGGTGTTCTCTCTCCTCATCTCACGGCGCCACGCGAGAGGCGACGTGAACGATACAAAACGTGTCCCTCGGATCCCGGGTGTCACGGAACACAGGGAATTCCACCAACAATTCCGTTCTATTCTAATCCATGTTACGTTGAAATTAAGGTCAAAACATAACGTGCGCCCGAGCTTTTCCATCGCTCTCGCAGATGTATTCCATGTTTGGTCTAGAGATTTGCACCACTATTGAGTCCATCACATTAACACCGCCCCAGATTAAAGAGAGGCGCGTGTGTCACGGGTAATGCACTCCTGGGCGCAGACGGTGACCATTGGCCAAGCTGCGGACAGTCGAGTTTGGTGAAGCCGTCCGCACGGACGTGCACGGCGTGGAACCCTTCGCTCTCCATCTCACGTCGTGAATCTCACGTCTTGAGTCTGACGCCAATAAGACGCCGTCAAGTAAAGCTGAGAATTCAACCTGCTGCGTGCTTTAGAAAAACGAAAAAGCGGTCAACTCTGGTGAAAGCGCCGATCACCCCAAAGCCCGACTCTGCCTTCGAGCGGGAGACACGAGTCCCGGTTGTCAACCTGCGTGAGACTCGTGTTACACAGACCACAGTGTGTCTCGCTGACTCTGCACGCATGCCATCCTTGGCGACGAGCTTACCTGCAACGTTCTAAACCCCCTCGCTATTTCATTGTTTGCATAAAAAGCATTAAAATGTTAAAACCGATTCCTGAATTATTTTGATCGCAATTCAGCCGTCACTACTTAATACTTTTTTTCCTTATTTTCGTAAATAAGTTGGTACGCGTGGTTTGAGGGCTGCCATCACCATCACCGCTCGGTTGGCTCCAGGTCACCGTAATGCGGCACGGGGCACGCGTAGTTTAAAACGACGGAAACCGTCACCGCACTCATTTCTACGAAATTTGTTCTCACATCGTAAAGTGGAAACCCACCGTCGTTTGGTTTTTCCCAAATAATTTCTGAAACTCGTGTTTGTCACAAAATGATTCGCTCCTTCGCTAAATAGCCTGTAATTTGATACTGTCCTCAAACTTCCACTGGCAGATAAAATAAATACAATTCTTCGATCAAAAATACTTCATGCACAAAAGAGCGTTACTCTGTACCGTTATATCCCATGGACAGCCTGGACCCCGCCATGAAAACATTAATTTCCAAAACTGAATCAAGGTGCTCTCGTACCCATTCGAGGAGAGAGTAGACACGTTGACCTACTGTGGCTCGGACTCCCATCCCATCGCGCATCGCCCCTCTCCTAGCGCAGGGCCTGCGTGGGCCGCTTATGGCCACACGCATCACTCGTCGTCCGGTTGCGTGCATGCGGAGAGAGGAACTCACCAACGCACACTGCAGAACCAGCGTGGTGAGTTATGGCAGACCTTCATCCAGCAGCGGATTGGCAAGGGGCTGTACAGCACTATTGTGTCATTATTTGAACGAGCTGCTGTTACAGAGCAATGCCATTGGGCCCTTGTTGTCGTTGCTGTTGTTGTTGTTCACTATGGCATGGCCCTGTCACGTATCACTGTGCCTACATTTTTTTGGTTGTAGTGAAGACATTGGTCACTTAATGTTATCAACAGAGCACCGATACAACCTTTGCTTTGTTCAAAATGTCAATCTCGGGGTCGTGTTTGTTTCGCATCGCTCTGGGGCTCCTTTGCGTTCTGCGCTCGTTTCCGTGTCAACAACCTCTCACCCGGTGCGTTCACTGCCGTTCACCTTTCTGTCAGGTTCATCGGTAGTCAAGTGTCCGTTAGCCTGAAGGTGGATGACGATTAACCATTTACTGCAGTGGATGTTCGAGATTGTGTCTGGTTTTCGCTGTGTCAGCGTGATTCTGTGTATCTTGCATTACTGACATTGCGTGTGATCGCCGATGGTTTACGCAGGTCTCAATATTATCACGTTTATACAAATTTGTTAAACATCTACACAAAACGTGTAATCATAAGAGGGTACAATGTAAAAATTTGTAATAAAAAGTGAAATACAGAACTTATTAAAGTAAATAAACAGAAAATGTTTGAAAAAGTTGGTCAACTAAACTTCCTACATCGCAAAATGTTAATTATATATATAAAATAACAATGAATAAGAGGCTGTGCCTGGACATGTAACTGTAGTAAATTTAAGAAAATATAACTTTGTCGATTTATGACGTGATACACATTGCCGAGCCAAGTGCAAAAGATGAACACTGGGACCGCTAGGCCGCTTACGGATTGGGACTCAACTACTCCCCATGCAAGTCACTCCGGGTCCCCCAAACGTTGACAAACCGCACAGACGCACAGCCCAATGTGACTGCTCAATGGAACTTAACAAAGTCTTCCGAAAACGTGTCTCTTACACATTTCGTTTCACGAGGAAAATAAACAAATGAGTCAGATTGTTTTCCAAAGTCTAAACAGTATGATAACTAACGGTGGAGAGGGCACAGGAGCTGTCCTACAAAGTTGTGCAAAATATGGGGAACCCCTTGGAGCTCTGCAAAGCGACATTCTCCATGGCCCCGCACGGACTTCCTCGTGACACTGGACGGCGAGCCGGCCACACGAGGCAGCGGTGGCGGCGGCGCTGGCGCGTCACACCCACTCGGTCATGGAGTGCTTGTAATGGGCCACGTGGTTCTGCACGCCTTTCTGCTTGAGCTGCAGCAGCGTGCAGGCCAGGGCGAGCACGCAGATGACGAAGATGCAGGGGATGACGATCGCGATCACGTTGATCGTGCTCGTAGACTCGTCCATCGTGCCCACAATGTCTACGTCGGCGTTGGAGTGGGGCATGCCCCCCGGACGCAGGCGGTGGGTCGTGCCGTCGCAGCCCAGCCAGTCCCTCAGGATGGACTTGGGGTAGCCGGGCTCCACCGCCAGACGGTGGTTGTTGAATTTCCAGTAGTCCTTGCCCTTGTAGAAGTACGTGTAGGCTACGGGTATACAAGACACACACGGCGTGTCAAAACATTACCATGGAAGTTGTTCAGCATCATTTAGCATGAATATTATGATTCTGCTTTTTTACTCAGGAAAGCCTCACCAGGTCTCAACACCATGTCTCAGGAGGGTCCTTCCACCTTTCCAGGATATCTAATTTGGCCTTTCTCTAATTATTCTTATTGATGTTCTTGTTGTGTACCCTGCTACTATCCATAATACATTTATGTCACTCATCTTGTGCCTATCCTTAATTGCCCAGCTTTCACAGCCATACAGGAGAACAAACCTGTATCAGTAACACCGCAGTATTCTAATCTTATTTTCAATACACAAAACACACATATAAGCAAAACAAAGACACAAGTAGAAACATAATACACACAGCGCATGCGTACAGTTCCTTACGCTCCACACCTAATTACCCTGAGAGCCAAGGCCGCCATCCATCAGCTCAACACAAGAAGTACACATTGGTCTAAGTGCAGCGGAGATGGAATATAGATTCTGAGACATTTATAGATTGCACGTTTAATGGCGAAGTCACGTGAAAAATCCAATCCGAGATAATGCCACCTCCACGATGGATGGATTCCCTGGCATATAAGGAAGTCTGGCCCCTTGTTTGGTTTGACTTGTGTTTTAAAAAGGGTGCATGACAAGAGATTGCACTGAAAAAAAGTACAAATTCGGTTATTCATTCATTCGTGATTACATTTGTAACACATATAAATTGAACGTAAAAGGAAAATCAGAGGAGCGGGAAATTTTATTTGAGAGGAAGTCTAAATATTCTAACAAAAGATCGACTCTGACGCTGATGTTGGGCACAGCGATAGATGAGGAGGAGGAGAGGAGAGTGAATTCCAGACAAGCGGAGCTGCGATAGAGTAAGCGACGTTCACTGCATCTGGTTCGGGGGACGGGGCTGGGCAAGGAGGAGGAGGGTGGGCGAGGAGTCACTCGGGGCAGATCGGAGGTTGCGAGGTGGAACATTCTGATGAGGCTCAATCGGCTGGTGGACCCAGAGCATTGACCCAGAGCGTTGACCTAGAGCATGGCCCGTAGCGTTGACTCAGAACGTGACCTAGAGCATGGCCCGTAGCATTGACTCAGAACGTGACCTAGAGCATGGCCCGTAGCGTTGACTCAGAGCGAGCATGCGCTTTGTAACAGAGGACGGCGCGTCTGTGCAGGATGCGTTGTTGAATGGGAAGCCGGAGAGGGAAATTGAGAAGGTCTCTGGTCGTGCCGAGTGTCGAGTACTGTGCGGGAGGACGCGATTTTGGAGACACTTGAGATTTTGAGATAAATATGATTAGGCTTCTTTGGGAACATCATCAGCTTGCTCTTCTGAACATATACAACGACTGGCACCTGCATGAAGTTTAATCTGTGAGCGAGTTAAACCAGAACCCGCGTCATTATAATGCACGTTAATAGGAGTGGAGTTACACTCCCCACGTGTGTTTGGGACAGCATGGACAGAGTCGGAGTGCAGCCTACTGGAAGGCTCCATTCTGTTGTTGTACGGTTCATACGGTAACCAGTAATAAATTAGACAACACAGTGGCCTACTGTTGCGAATTATGTTAGGGGGTCTTTAATGTACACTGTGAGTGAAGTAGGCGCTCAGTTTCATGGTTAATGCACACAGTAATAATTGGGGCGGCCGCTGAATTAGAACCGCAATCCTCTGCAACAAGCGGCGAACGCGCCGCTAGCGCTGGTCCACAGGGCCGCTCGTCCCTGATTATCGGTAGCGTTCGTGATGGTGGCGGTGAGGAGTCTGAGTCGACGCAACAGTCTAATCAGAGTCACAGCATCTCACTATTCAAGCATGTGACAGGGCAGCACTCATCGCCAACAGCGGTCCCGAGCTAGTGGTGGAAGTTCCACATTCCGATGGCAGTGGCCACAGAGGTTAACCTTTGTGGATTTCTCACGAAGTGTTTTTTTTATTAAAGACACGAGCCAGAGGAGTGCCACTGTGGCCATGCAACAACAGACGAGGAGGAGGAGCAGCAAAACGACACGAACTCTCTCTGCTGAAGCCCTCTCGTCGTGGCCAGCAGACCTCAACATTGGCATTTAGCTCACGAACAAATTGCTACCTAGAGCAAGAATAACATTTTACCTCCGCAGCCAAATCCAAAAGTAGAATGCCACATAAAAATAAAATCCATGTATATCCGAAATGCACATTGCAAACAAAGTCATCAAACGCTCCTGTCATGTCATCATGGGCAGAGCTGAAAGCAAGAAACAGTTTTCAGGTGAAAACTAAAGAGTCAGTGGCCTGGATTCCTTGCACGATGCCTAGTGGCAATCTATCTGTTATATATACATCACGGTTCCTGAAACGTGCATTTGACAATAACAACTCTTGGCATTTTACAATACACATACATTTCTACACTTCAACTAAGTGTAATGCAGCTAGTCAGAAGCTGTTAATGGTTTTGCACAAGGCGTTGTGTACACATTGCTGCGTGTTGTTTGAAACCCGTGGCTTTGCAGCCTGCATTGCTTTTTCTGTTGTGATGAAGAGTTTTCTCGTCATTTATAGATTTAATTCGAGTCTCAAGTTCACTTTGCATAACCAGGTGAGACCTCTCAAGAGGTCAAAATTACAAGCGTGACCTGGGCCACAACATTACAAAAGCAAACCAGATAAAGTACAGCAATTAAGCAAATAGAAATCAAGACAAAAAAACAACTCTGTCACATCAACAATTTTAAATATTGCACAAACATAGATTAATGTAGATGGGTTTCTTGTGGCCTGAGTCAGCATGGACAATATATTTAGACTAATCACTCCACAACTCCAAAATTAAGTTACAGAAACATTAAACACATATAGGGTAGTGACTATTGTACTAATATGTAAACAGACAATGATATATGATGTAAAATGATCGCTTCACGATGAATGAACACCATCACAGTGTCCGTGTAACACTTGTCTCGGCGTTATGTCTTCACACATGACACCAATAATGCAATGGTGTGAAACTAAAATTCACGGTGCATTCGTGTTGCTACTCACCTCCTTCATTCCCAACAAAGGCACCCTTAGGGGCCTCTGGGATTCCCTTCCAAATGTTAATGGACTTGGGGTAGTCTATGTCGACAGTCCGCTTGTCTTCATTAAACCTCCAGTATCTGTTCACAAGCAGGCACATCCACCGGTCCCGTGTAACGCATCACGGCCAGACCACGAACAGTGACAGATTCGATTGCTCCTTCTAAGAGGGGTTGTGGTGGTTGTGAAGTCGCGCCACCCCAAGACAGACCGAGGCAGGGCCTAAAGAAGAAGGCGCCGGTCTTAGCGGGAAAGGTGCTGAGATGGGGCCCAGTTAGCAAGGGGTGGGGCCTCATGCGTAAAGGGGCAGGGCGTAGACGGGAAGAAGCGGGGCCTAAAGAGGAAGGAGGCACAGCCTAAGAAAAGTAAGGGCCTGTAGCGGTTGAACTTGCCTGTTGATTTAAGGCAATGGAAGTGAAGAATTAAACACATACAGCAGCAGGCAGCAGCAGCACAGATTTAGTGCTGCAGATGCAGTCATGAGCTGACTGGTAATAAATATGTCCATTTGGTATTTAGAAGGCTCGATCGTTCACAGACGATTATAGACTGCCAGTAGGGAGCGATGTTGTTACGTGAAACACAAATTTGTCAAAAAAAATTACCTTCAAGTCACTCAATTAGGTATTAAAGATAGCAGCAATCATCACATGGCAGTCGCCGATGTACATAAGCCTCGAAATCCAAATAAGGAATGGCCATCACCACCTCTGCCAGCAGCCACTTGCTGGGCGATAGACGTGGGCGACTCCACGAGCCGCCGCACACACCGGGGCCACGCACAACAGAGAAAGGGAATGCTCCTCCTACCGGTCTCCCTTGAAGAAGAACGTCTTGCTGGTGGGGTCCCACCAGAGGACAGCGTCGATGCGGTCCTGCGGCAGCCCCTTGCCCAGCTCCGAGAGCGTACGCGGGTAGCCGGGCTCCGGCCCAGCCTCGTTAAACACCCAGAACTTGTTGCCTGCAGCGGGACGGGGCGCACAGTTGGAGATCGGCGCCGAGCCAAGATTATTGTTGTTTTTATTTTTATCACCGTTGCTCTCATTACACATCTGGTTTTAATAATAGGGCACGTGCGATCACAGCCCGGGGGTATGCGAACGAGTACCAAGTCTGGAATATTTAAACTAAGCCAAACTACTTGTATTTTACCAAGTAAGGGCCACTGAGCTATATAGCTCTTTTTCAGAAGCAACCTGGCCACAAACGATAGTTGAACAATATGGCTTATCATGTGGAAATTTCTTGGAGTCAAATAATCTAAATTATTCTAAATGTGGAGGGAAAAACCGGAGGACCCGGAAAAAAATCCGATCGAGGATTTGGAGAACACACAAACTCCAAATATACAGCAGCAGGCATCAGAGTCGGGATCGAACCAACGACCTCATGTATACCAGGTGAGGTAGTTAACATCTCCTAGCCACCGTGGCGCCCCCTGCGATAATACCAGGTGCTAGAGAAGTCATCCAGACTCCAGACTCAAACTGGATTATTCCCACTGGTGAGGCCACACTGAGCTGAGCAGTTCTGTTACGAGGATGACCTCAGCTCAAGGCCATTGGCAGTGGCGGCAGTGATCGGAGATCGCAGGGAGGGAACGTGCAACCTAGCGGGAGCAATAACGAACATTCCTTACGCGAAACACGTGCCCGTGAGTGCCGCAGACGGGAGCACCGTTACCTTTGAAGAAGGCGAGTTTCCCGTCGGGGCGCTCGTACGCGGCGTCGATCTTGGAGGGCAGTCCGCGCCAGTATTGCCCAATGAGCATCGGGTAGCCCTCCACCACACGGTTGTTGCGCACCTGCCAGAACCACTGGTCCTGCACCGCGTCGCAGCAGAGGCAGCAACAACAACAATTCACTCGCAGATAAATCAACCGTGCAACGCACACAGCTGAATGTAGATTCACAAGTTTATCTTTGTGCAGAAGCCTGACCATGTCCAACAAAAAAAGAATGCAACCCAGTCACTGATAGTAATAATCACTTCAACCTGTAACGTGTTTATATCACCGAGCGAGAGAGTGCACGAGGGAAAGTGGTGACCTCCAGATTTCTGTTTAATCATGAACAGCACGCACGATCCATCATCGTCATCACCATCAACCATGGTCAATCTACTGCTGGATGAAAGCCTCCCCGTGCCGGCTGCATCCCTCACAATCCTGGGACGACGCGGTCCCAGGTGGCCGCTCGCACCTCCGATACGCGGTGCGCTGCGCGTCAAGTGCGATCATTGTGCGGGCGGGAGGGCCGGTGGGCCGGCAGGGCCAGCAGGGTGGGCGGGCGAGACGCTCACCTTGAACACGAACATTTCTCCACGCAGCACGGTGACCGTGTCGAAGCCGCCCTCGCAGATGCTGGGCAGGGCCCCGGGGAGGCCCGGCCGCTCGTCCAGAGGGTGCTTGGGGGGCCGCGGCCGCTTGTCGGGCCTGCGGGTGCGCGACGGCGGCTCGGGCCGGTGGGGAGGGGGCAGCGATGTCTGCTTCGTCGGGTCGGGCTCCTTGGCTGGAGGCCCTACCACGCACGGGCGCGGGCACAGAGGCGAGTGGGGCAATGAGGTCACCCGGCCGCTGCTACCCGAGCGTCGGGATCGCGATGGTTCGTAACGGCACCGGCAGCGGCCGTCTGCAACTCTCTCCCATCGCACACGCAACAGCATCCAAGCACTATCATCATCATCATCCACCTTAAAGCAGCAACTCTAGGTTCTCACTCGTTCAGGCTCTCACCCGTTCAGGATCTCACCTGTTCAGGATCTCACCCATTCAGGATCTCACCTATTCAAGATCTCACCATTCAGGCTCTCACCCGTTCAGGGTCTCACCCGTTCAGGATCTCATACAAGGGACTTTGAGGTCTGGCTCTGTGCCTCCGAGTTCTCGATCGAAGATTTTGTCCGATTTGTGACATAAGTGGTTAAGCACTAGTAGGATAGAGTGGCTAACTATGTGGAAGACAGAGTGGCTTGTTGGGCAGAATAGCTTCGCAGGTGTTGAGTAGAGTGGCTAAGGAGGTGTTGGGCAGAGTGGCTAAGGAGGTGTTGGGCAGAGTGGCTAAGGAGGTGTTGAGCAGAGTGGCTATGGAGGTGTTGGGCAGAGTGGCTAAGGTGTTGTTGGGCAGAGTGGCTAAGGAGGTGTTGGGCAGAGTGGCTAAGGAGGTGTTGGGCAGAGTGGCTAAGGAGGTGTTGGGCAGAGTGGCTAAGGAGGTGTTGGGCAGAGTGGCTAAGGAGGTGTTGGGCAGAGTGGCTAAGGAGGTGTTGGCAGAGTGGCTATGGAGGTGTTGGGCAGAGTGGCTAAGGAGTTGTTGGGCAGCGTAGCTAAGGAGGTGTTGGGCAGAGTGGCTAAGGAGGTGTTGGGCAGAGTGACTAAGGAGGTGTTGGGCAGAGTAGCTAAGGAGGTGTTGGGCAGAGTGGCTAAGGAGGTGTTGGGCAGAGTGGCTAAGGAGGTGTTAGGCAGAGTGGCTAAGGAGGTGTTGGGCAGAGTGGCTAAGTGTACTCTACGTAGTAGCCAACAGAGCGGTCATCTGCCATGTGATCTGCAAGACCGTTGCCATGTGCAGGATGCGGGAGGGCCGATTGCCGAGACAGGCATTGGAGTGGTCTCCAAGAGTCCGGAAACAAAGGAGAAGAGAAGACCTAAGAGCATGTGATGAGAGGCTGTCAGGGCAGATCTAAGGGTCTATCTGCAAGTGAGACCAAATGCCAGTCTCTAGGTCTCTATGTCAGACTATGTATGGGTCTCAGTCTGGGTCTCTGGATCTCTCTGTGTGAGTTTATGGGTCTCTGTGTGAGTCTGTGAGTTTCTGTGTGACCTATGGGCCTCTGTGTGTGAGTCTATGGGTCTCCCTGTGTGAGTCTATGGGTTTCCGTGTGATCTATGGGTCTCTGTGCGAGTCTATGGGTCTCTGTGTGCGAGTCTGTGGGTCTCTGTGTGAGTCCATGCGTCTCTCTGTGTTAGTCTATGGGTTTCTGTGTGACCTATGGGTCTCTGTGTGTGAGTCTATGGGTCTCCCTGTTTGAGTCTATGGGTTTCCATGTGACCTATGGGTCTCTGTGTGAGTCTATGGGTCTCTGTGTGCGAGTCGGTGGGTCTCTGTGTGAGTCCATGCGCTCTATGTGTTAGTCTATGGGTTTCTGTGTGACCTATGGGTCTCTGTGTGAGTCTATGGGTCTCCCTGTGTGAGTCTATGGGGTTCTGTGTGACCAATGGGTCTCTGTGTGTGAGTCTATAGGTTTCTGTGGGAGTTGAAGGATGGATCTTGCAGGTCTCTGTGAGTCGACTGTGCAGCAGCTGTGGGATGTGACGGAGAGCGGAGCGCGTTGGCAGCCACGATGCCGCGCAACGGCCGTGGCATTAACGGCGTTGGCCGTGGCGGCTCCGTGGCCACGCCGCAGTAGCGGCGGTGGTGCAGACGCTCACCGTAGATCTGCTGGATGCCCAGGACGTCGTCGTGCGGCAGCTGGAAGTGCACCGTGTCCATGTACTGGTAGAAGGGCGCCATAATGGCATTGGGGTCATTGGAGTGCTCCAAACCGAGCGCGTGGCCCAGCTCGTGCACGGCCACCAGGAAGAGGTCGTTCCCTAGCAACCACCACCACCACGACGACGAGCCATGAGGCAGTCACGTGCGGTGGAGAGGGATGGGGCACGGAACAAGGGCACCAGCAGGACATTTACGTCACAAATCATGATCTTCAAAGAGAAATACATTACATTCCACAAGCCTGACATAATCTTTGGGTCTTTCAGTAAAGTCACGTAGACAGGTTCAAAGAAAATAACAAAAACAACGACGTTTCAATCGCAACACAAGCGGTCATCATCAGGAAAAGGGGGTTAGCCTCTAAAGGCAAACTGTTTATAAAGGTTTGAAATGGGCGTAGCCAAAGTGTCAGCAGCATGGATTCCTGCAGTCGCGAAAGCTTCAAATCAAGATTAGGCACGTTTTCTGGAAAATAAGTAACTGTCTCCATATTTCGTGGTTTTAGGATACAATATCAAGTGCCAATGTGACCATCTTAGTGACATCAGTTTGCCATAACCCTGTAAATATATTCACAGAATGGTTCGGATTCGAAAGGGGATTAAATATTTAAGTAAACATGAAACGGGCGACGGCGGTGCCACCCACCATCGTTGTTTTTGTTGCCGAGCGTCCACGGCTCGTCCGAGTCGAAGTGCGTGTCACCGCCGATGCCTGGCCCGGGGAAGTAGGCGTGGGCGAGGAAGCCGCCCTCCCTGTCGAAGGGGGAGCTGTCCCCGTGGAACCCCGACGCGAAGAAGATCATGATGTCGGCGTCGCGCCGCCCACTGCGGATCTCGTGGTAGGGGATCTCCTCGAAGGCGAGCGGCGTGACGCGCTGCCAAACGTCGAACGCCCGGCGGATCGCCCGCCTCGTGTCTGCCTCGCCCACCTTTGGGGTGGAGTTCTGCAAGCTTCACGACCCCACGCGCACACGCACGTGCACATGTGCGCACACACACATGCACAAAACAACAACCGCCATTAGCCACTAAGTGGCGGTGACGTCACCACGGCGCTTGTGCCAGGCTATGTGCACGTTAAGGCCACGTGAAGTGTCGAATGCCCGCTGGCAGGTCACGGGGCAAACCCAGGTGCCATGGATTGCCTGACTGAGATGACTGGCCGATGCACCACCTGTGCCCCCTACTGTTTTAGCCACTCGGCGCTCCGCTCATTGTTGTGAGCGTCGCTCCTCTGTCCTCCGTTGTTGTTGGAGGGCGATTGCCTCCAACTGCCCAGCAGCGTCCTTCACGAGGACACTCCATCTCTTCTCCAGTCCGTGCCGCACCCGTTTAGCCCCCTCTATTTGGCCGAACATGCGGTGGCTGGGCATGCAGGCTACATGACCCAGCCAACGCAGCCTTCCCTACACAATACATGCAAATTTCTCACTTTAACATCACTAGCCCCCCCCCCCCACTTCGTTTATGACTCTGGGGCTACGCCCATATCTAACCTTTAAAAGCAGCCTGCATCAGCAGCTTCCCTCCTCTTTCTTCTGCCTGATGACGATGGCTTGAGTTGCGATCGAAACGTTGTGATCTATCATTTTTTTACCTACGTGACTTTACCGAAATAACCAAATATTAAGGTCCTTAATGATTGTGAGCAGAGTTAGGAACTCCGAAAGCATGAAGAACAACCCAGAGCCCAGGCCTACTGATGGTATTATAGGGCTTGACCAGATCAATAAAGCAAAGATGTAGGTGCTGTTGGAATTCCCTATACCTCTGCTGTAGCAGACGGACAGAAAATATGGCATCTATTTAGGACCGCCCTTTCCTGAAACCACACTAGGGCTCCGCAAGCCTCTTCTCAGCGTTCCTGGTAAGGCGATGTTGAATGATCCTTGCCAGGATCTTTCTTGGCACACTGAGGAGGGAGATTCTCCTGTAGTTGTTACAGTCTGTGCGGTCCCCCTTCTTAAAGAGGGGTACCACCTGGGCATCCTTCCAATCCTGCGAAACCCATCCAGTGGTCCAGATTGTTATTATGATGTCATGTAGGACAGTCTGAGCACAAATGCCACCCTCCCTCAGCATTTTGCTTGGAAGATCATCTCTGCCCGGTGTTTTTCCTAGTCTTAGACTCTGGATCGCCTTCTGTACTTCCTCAATGGATGGCACCTTATCCAACCACTCACAGAGGGCGACTACTTCCTCCAATATTTGAGGCACCGCAACCTCAGCAGGGTCATCCCCACTTTGCCCCATGATGTTTTCCAGGCTGAGGGATTTCCCCTCCCCCAAGACCTCACAGAAATGCTCAGCAAATCTGCAAACCTGTTCCTGGCTGTTGGAGATCGGATCACCGTTCTTTCTCCTAATGAAGGTGATAGGTGTGGCGTTGCAAGTTACTTTTTGATTAAGTTAAAGAGTGATTTGTGATCGCTAGCTACTGAGGCAGACTCCATCTCCTCAGCAACCCACGACCACCACCCATCCTTGTAGTACCTCATGGCTCTCCGAACCTCCGAGTGAAGGCTGCGGTAAGCCTCCTCATTCTCTGACGTGGGATGCTGTAGACGGTGATAGTGGACCTATCGCTTTTTCTCAACCAGCCTGAACACCTCCTCTGTCAGCCTGGGTCTCTGGGAAGGTCTGAACCGTGGCTCATGCAGCTGCATGAGGCACAGTCCTAAACCTCACCCATTTCCCCTCGGCACACACACGCGCAGACGCACGCACGCACACACACACACCCGCTCGTGGGGTTGGCGCCTATGTATTATTGTTGATGTTTTTTGCCCAGGCACGTCACAGGCGTGAGCCATGTTCCGACGTGCAATCCCAATTGAGTGATTTGTTTTGTAGCGGAGTGTGACGTGTTTTACACACAGGGTGCGCCGCACCTGTACACGCCGTGGTTGATGCACCTGTAGGTGATGCACCAGCAGGTGCCGTACCTGTAGGTCACGCGCCGTACCTGTAGGTGATGCACCGGCACGCCGCGTACCTGTATGTGATGCGCTTGTGGTGCCACTTCTGGCCAGTGAGTGCGTAGCGGCGGCGCCGCACACCGGGGCCGTGGTCGAAGCGGTCGGGGACTCCGCAGCGCGGCCTCTTCATCCACCTCCAAAGACAAAGATCCGCCATGTAGCCTTAACAGATTGTTGGGGCAAGTGTTGTTAGCGAGTAGCACCTGTGAAGGCCGGCAGAGCACACGAGAGGGTGGGTGGCCAGTGCTATGCACAGCCACCTTTGTCTCCCTAGTGACGATGTTTACACGCAACACCAGGTACTCATTTGAGGTTGAGTCAACGACCTCCAAACACGCACAGATATATCACACACGGGTACAGAGATAGCACACACGGGTGTAGAGCTATGACACACGTGTAGAGCTATGACACACACGTGTAGAGCTATGACACACACGTGTAGAGCTATGACACACACGTGTAGAGCTATGACACGTGTTGAGATATCAGGCGCGTAGAGCTATGACCATCAAACTTGGTCAACACAAGCGTGCAGAGACAAATGTTTCCCGTATAGTCTTAACAGATTGTAGGGGCAAGAGCTGTTAGCGAGCACCTATAAAGGCCGGCACGGCACACGAGTGGGTGGCCAACACCACGCCCGGCCGCCTTTGTCTCCCTAGTGACGATGTTTACACCGATGGTTTGTTTTTTTAGCGACGGGAGGAGTGGAATGCCACGCAGAGCAGGGGGAGAGAATACAAACTCTGCACGGTCGGGAATCGAACCCAGGACCTTGTTGCTGTGAGGCGCGCGTGTTACCACTGCGTTGCTGCCACCCTGACGCCCAAGGAGGAGTCCTTTAGCGCTCAGGTGATCTCCTCCCTCATTTGGATTCAGCCAATTCCAGGGGAAAGAACCCCCACTTTTAATGCCATAAATCACGTTTAATATTCACACGAGCTTCATTAGTCGAACGTTTCACTGCGTTTAATCCAGGCACGCAACGGAAGCCAAACGTTCTGCCGAACTAACTTTTCTCTCTCCTATAAATGCAAGTCTCGAATCAACTTTTGTTTTAAATTGTCCTTGTCACGAGGAAATGAGGTTTGGAAATTAATTACTCAAAGGGCGCCATCGCCAGCACCGCTGGGCCGAGACGCGCGAGGTGCAACCGCCTCCACCGCCACCACCACGCCGGGAGGGGTGGGGGGGGCACGGCCCTGCTGCCGTTCCCGCCGCCGCTGCCTCGGCACGGCACGGGCCAGGCTGGGCCCTCCCCTCACACGGCCCGCAGCTCTGGAGCCGAGTGTTGTGTTTGTCCTCCGAGTCCAGAACCCGGAAAATAGGAGACAGCCGTCGTGTTTATTCTCTTCTCACAATCCAATGCCTGTTGTGTCTCGGCATTGTATAATTGTGTCGTGACACCGCGGGATGTCACTGTGTGGTGCCGGCCCTAGAGGGCCACAGCGTGCGGTGTAGCGACATCGCGGGCACCACGAAGGTGTGGGTGCGGTGCCGGCCCTGGAGGGGCTCGGTGAGCACTGACAGCGCTGGGTGGCACCACGCTCGGCGTGCAGTGCTGGCCCCTACAGGACAGGGTGTGGGAGTGCCGGCCATGGAGATGGGGTTAATAAGGGCCGTGGCACTCTGGTTGACCCCAGAGGACACGCGACCGGTTAAGTCTCCACAGGGGCCCCAAGTGGGGGCTCGGGGTGGTCACGTGTCAGGGTCGAGATCCTGCTTGAGGATTCTGGAAGGTGGTCGTGGCCAAGAGCGGAGCCACAGAGGATCTAAGCCGGGTCCCCCAGAGGGACCGGCGCTGTTGTTCATCCTGAAGAAATCTTCGTCTACGTTCTGTGTTCTACTGAGTCTCCAACACGTGGACCGGGACCCAAGCTGGGGTCCGGTCCGTTGTAGCTAGTTACGTTGTAATTAGTGGTTAGCCTGGTGGTCACCACCATAGGTTGTTATTCTGTTAAGGGGCAGTTACTCCGTGTGTTGGTGTTAATAAATGTGTTGCCTCCTAAGAGTACGTCTACAACTCAGTTGAACTCACTACAATTGCATAAAAGAGCAGTTTACTGTTCGTGCTCCGAGTACCTTCCACTCGACTTTTAAATCTCTCCATGGCCTTTTCCCACCTGTTGTCGCCTCTCCCGTCACTCTTCACTCAGTCTTCACTCTCTCTCCTCCTGTTGTCGCCTCTCCCGTCACTCTTCACTCTCTCTCCTCCTCCCTCTGCCCAATGTTGCTGTCGATCTCTCTCCCTCCTTGAACCCCTCCACTGGAATCAACTCCCTGTGTACATGAATTCCCCCTCCTTAACCTCCTTCCGCTCCTCTCTTCAGGCTCCACCTCTTCTCTACTGCCCATTCCCTTCCTCTTCCCTCGCCCCGCGACTCCGTCACGTCCCTCCGCTATCGTCCTTTCGTGACCCCACGTGTGCCCTCTTGTTACGGTCACTCATTCCTCGGTCCTTGCACGGCCCTTGGCATCTAAACTCGGTTTTAATTCGGCTTTAAAACGATGTAAAGCACCTTCGACTAAGGCGCTCTGTACATAATATAAAATAAGATAATATTGTGAGTGTTTTCTACATTCTCTAGGATTTAAAGAACATTCTAGTGGAAAATGTACATTAATAGGCGCACACATTGAAGGGTTGGAGCGATCTTGAACGAGCCGTGTCGGTCTGTCATATTAGTTTCCCCCACCGCTTTGGTGTTGCAACCTCGTCTGTCTCCTTCACGTCTGCTTCCGACGTTTCCACTCAATGCGGTGTTTGTTGCGCGGGGAATCCCGTTCAGCCAGTTACCCACGTGGTGTTGGTGGCAACGGCCTGCAGCAGCGACGAACAACAACAACACGGTTATTGTTGGGGTGGAGAGGAGCCCAGGCAGCAGCCAGATTATTTTAATCGAAGTATGATTACGCTTCTTGACCCAGGAGAGTCTCGAGAATCTTTATCACGAGGATCCTGCCAGGTTTGTCGCAGTAGGGGCCGATGTCGCCGTGCGTACTCCCCACTGAGTAACTTGCGGGGTCATTTTTGGCATGTTTGCTAATTCCCGTTAAAGTGTATGTGTGTTTGCTCCGGGGGGGGGGGGGGAATGAGAAGGACGTCCATATTATCGATTGCTACAATCATCAGGATTGTTTTCTCACGCGAGCCTCGCACAGTCCCAACACTCCATGCCACGAGGGTCGGGCTCGGGGGGATTTGGCGATTTCCCTGTCGGGAGGAATCCGGTGTCTGGAGACGTGAGACGGAGACGGAGAGGGAGACGCGAGATGGAGAGAGCCTCTGAGACCTGCAACCTGCTGGCCGTTTGCCGCATTTGCAGCTGGAAATTTAAACCAAAACACCAATTTCTTATCCAGCAGTGGAATGACAAAGGGCTGTAAATTATTCATTATTATTATTCACCACAGTGGTGCCTCTAGATGGGCTCTCTCACTTGAGCTCTGTCTCCAGCAGAGGTGCTTCCACCAGCATTGGCACGAGCAAGCGATTGCGAGGCTGCGCCTTTGACCACTTGTATCGCGGTGCGATTGTGGGGCGCCAGGGTTTGACGGCATCGCCGAATATCAGAGGAGGCGTTCCCCACATAAGGTGGTCGCGCTGCGGAAGCAGGAGCTGATTCGTAATGGACTGGCAGATAAATAAATCACGCTTCGCAGTTAAGCCTCTATAGGGCTCAACGTATACAAAATGTATGACAGCTAAAGCTAAGACACACAAACGATAACAAATCAAACGAGGGCACGCATTTGAACAAAAAAACAGCGCACACATTCTAATAATACAAACACGAGACGTTATATAACAGTATGGTTGATGTTGATGTAAAGCAACAGCTGTAATCTTCATGGAGATGGTTGGAATTCCCTCCTCCCATCATCGTCGTCTCTTACCCCCCCTCAAGCTCTTACAAGAATAACCGTGGCTCAATTCAAGAAATGCGTTATCCTCTTATCAATTACATCTTGGATGGTGCTGTTAGCTGCTGGCCGCTTGGCGTTTTGGGACATTCATCTCCCCCTCCGAATCGACTGCCCACTGTGAGTGGATCCTCAGCAAAGCGCAGCGGTAACCAGGAGACAAACAACAATCCTGGTGGACGCCTGGTGGATGCCTGGTAAACGTCTGGTAGACGCCTGGTGGACGCCTGGTGGACGCCTGTCCACACACCAGACGGTTCTGGTGTCACCGCCCCTTCTATCCATGTGTTGCGCCACAACAAAGCACTGGAGGTCGCTTTACCTGCCACCGCGGTCACGGGGTAAAACCCCCCTTGGGTGGCCCGTGACCGGAGGTTGACACCCCAGACCCCCAAGGGCTGGGGGCTGGGGGGGCTGGGGGAGGGGGATAGAGACCGCCCACCGATTTTAAGACCCTTCATGACCTTCCAGAAGGTTCTGAAGGGGGGGTCATTTGGAGGGGGGGTCATTAGGGGAGGGGTCATTAGGGGAGAGGGGGTCATTAGGGGAGGGGTAAGCCCCGACCTGGGGAAAAAAGCCGGCCCTCTGAACGGGTCTGGCAGTGTTCGCCAACTCAAGCCTGAAGACGTCCGAAGACCTGAAGATCTGGTCTCCGAATGGAGGCGTGGGTTCGAACCCCACTTCTGACACCAAATGATGTGTGTCTAACTAACTACACAGAGACGTCTTCTGGAGGTAACGCGTTTATTAAGCAAGACTCAACTGACAAGACTGTAACACGAAGGGGTACGGCCCCTTCAACCCGATAGCCTAAGGGAAGTACAGCCTCCCTTCTAGTGTGTCCTACACACCCCGGCTACACTACACACAGGTCCCTTGCCATGGCCGCTAAGGGAGGCTACACCGACCCGACCCAGCCAGGGTGCTGGTACCACCACCGGTCCGCTACAACCGAGGCTCTCGTCGGTCTAGCCTCCCTTAGCGGCCGTGGCAAGGGACCTGTGTGTAGTGTAACCGGGGTGTGTAGGACACACTAGAAGGGAGGCTGTACTTCCCTTAGGCTATCGGGTTGAAGGGGCCGTGCCCCTTCGTGTTACAGTCTTGTCAGTTGAGTCTGTTGCTTAATAAACGCGTTGCCTCCAGAAGGCGTCTCCGTGTAGTTAGTTAGACACACAACACGTGCACAGCCCCAGTCCTATCGTGCAAGGGCTTGAAGCAGCCCACTTCGCCTTGCCTGCATCGAGGCACTGCGTTTGCAGTGGTGCACAAGCATAAATAAATAATGGTTACATTGATCGTAAACACCACCTTGCAATAGAGAAGAGGCCGTATTTGACAACAACGCGTGCTATTCGCTCATCGATCTCGTAGAGAGAAGACGATTCGGAGGCGCGAGGAGGAACCAGGGGCGACGAGCGGGGAAAGCAGCAGCAGGCACGCGATGAGCCGGCGCCAACAACTGCCCAAGCTCTGTGGTCCTCTGTGTATTATGGTGTTAGCAGTCAATTAATGAGTGTTTACGTTTAGAAGACCGGAGCACAAGAAGAAAACCCACACGTGCGAGGGGGAAACACTCTATTCCGTACAGACAGAACAGATGGAGTCCCCAATTGTTCCTGTTGTGCGAAGCAGGGTACGGGACCTCCTGGACGCGACAGCCCTTCTTCAGAGCACAGGGAGACGGCCGAGCGCCCAAATACTTCACCACCGTTGTCAGGCAACGTTCACGATGGACGCGTTTTCTTTGTCTGTGCTTTTTTACGATTGGTATTGAAACGGGTGTGTAAGAAAGCAGCTGTTTTGTTGTGTGCTTACCGTACTGTTTGTGCTGCTTACCATTTGGTAGAGAAATCCCTTTGATAGGCCAGGAAAAACAGGAAAGGTATGTCAAAAGGCAGCATGAAAAAAAGTTTTGCAAAAGTCTAGTTGTGCAGGGAACTGTTCGAGTCGGGCAAATCCACGCGCCAATCAGGGATCTCTCCGTCGCCACGTACACAATTCGAGCGGCGCGTTGTTTGCAGTTTCATCGGAGAAGCGTAAATTTGGGTAAAATAGATTAGTTTAGATTATTTGGAGTTATTTACCACAACAAAATGGGCCTTTTATAAACAAAATCTTGATTCTCATTGAGGCTTTCCGTAGCTATATAAATGGCATTGCACTTTTTACAGAGAATGCCAGGCAGGCTCTAGATGCCCAGCAGAGTCGTGGCAATCAGAGCAAGGTTATTATTTGCGCTATGCAGAATCGCAAGAAGCTACCCGACGGGGGTGGGGGGGGGGGCATGCATATTGCAGGACACGGCCACTACTCGATCGAGCCGTGACCTTTAAAAGTCCCGGGGGAAAAAACCTTTTAAAATCACTTGGAGACTTATCATCGAGATGAATATTCGCAGAATATTCCAAACAATAATGTTGCCGTGTTTGTTTCAAAGGTTCTTGAAAACAAAACCGATCCATAATTTGCGGGGCCTTCTATAAATATAACCGGCACACACAAACACACGTGTGGCTGATGTTGATGTGGAGCAACAGCCGGAATTTTAAATTGAGGTGCTTGATGAGCCAGAAGACTGCATCAGCAGTAGCGGAGTGGCGAGTCGCTGCTGTGACGACGACGACGCCTCCTGCTTCGGGTTTGTGAATAGGGCACTCAGTCGTTATACGCTCCATGCTTCTGTTCTGGGTGATGACCGCAGTTGCTGCTCACCGTCCAGAGAGATTTACATGTTTCATTTGTGCATCGTCAAGTATCCGCATCTGGCACACACCGACGCCAAATAACCTCAAGTGTTCTAGAGTTGATGAGAATATAGCTCAACTACAGACATTGATTTTTTAACGTTTTTTAGTATTTTGTTTAAAGTGGATGGGGATTAGCCAACTTGGCAGCTGGGGAATTGGCTGCATATTGGCTGTACGGAAATAGTCGCCTCCTTTTCAGACTTATGAGCATCATCAATCACACGGCACAGCACCCTCGCCGGTAAACACTGCGAGAGACTAAAACGAAGACGTGCGAATTGAAGAGCGTGTGGGCGGGTGTCAACGTGAGCGGCTGTAGATGGCGAGAGGCACTCTCTCTCTCGGTGGTGGTGGTGATGTAGGTGGTGCACGCTCGCGAGAAGGAATATTTCATCCGCAGCGCCAGGGAAAGCAGTGTGCAAGTCGCAGTGCAGCAGTGACTCCCCTTCTCATGACTGCGGAACTTTACAAAACGTAAACCGGCCCATGAACATCTCTAGACAATTTATCTTTAATCGTTTTTATGCGATTTGCCATTGCATATGACATTTGCTGTATTAAAAGTGCCTATTTACGAACTTAACAGGTTTTAAAGGGCTCTGCATCTCTGGCCCCGTGTGCTATCGAGAAGGGCCAGTGACCGAAGCATCACCAATTGCATGGGGGATTTTAACTTTGTACTCTTTTTTTGTTTTAAATGACAAAATAGGAGGTGGTGGTGGTGATGGTGACGGTGGTGGTGGTGGTGACAGCGGCGGTGATGTTGGTAGTGGTGGTTGCGGTGGCGGCGGTGATGGCTGTGGTGGTGGCGGTGGTGGTGACAGCGGCGGTGACGTTGGTAGTGGTGGCGGCGGTGGTGGCTGTGGTGGTGGTGGCGGTGGTGACAGCGGCGGTGATGTTGGTAGTGGTGGTTGCGGTGGCGGAGGTGATGGCTGTAGTGGTGGTGGCGGTGGTGACAACGGCGGTGACGTTGGTAGTGGTGGTGGCGGTGGTGGCTGTGGTGGTGGCGGCTGTGGTGGTGGTGGTACCCACTCGAGCGTGGCGTGGTCCACGCTGCCCGTCACATTGATGCCGTAGAAGCGCTGCATGGCTGCCACTGCCTGCGCCATGGCCCGCGGCGAGCGCATCGTGGACATGCGGCCCGCCCCGCCCGGGAGGTACCCATAGCGCTCCAGCCAGCCCTGCCACCACCCACACAGAGACAAAGATCACACGCGAAGCCTTCACAGACTGTTGGGGCTGTCGGCGAGTAGCGCCACCTATGAAGGCCGGCACGACACACGAGGGGGTGGGTGGTCAGCACCAACGCCCGCCCGCCTTTGTCTCCCGAGAGGCGGTGTACACAAACCGCACCAGGTACTCATTTGAGGCTGCGTCGACGTAGGGGAGGCCCAGGACCGGTTCGAATCATCGTCGCCGGTGTTGGCCGTGAGCGAGAATCACTTCGCGACACGAAGCGAATAATAAAACTCCCTCTGCTCCGTCTGGCGGAGCTCGGCTTGGCACGAGAGGAGCCGCGCGCACCCGGCGCCTCTCGGCCCAGAGGGCGTCGCACATCCGAGGGCGACTCTCGCAGAGTCCCAGTGACACGCGGCAGCCGCCGCCTCCCTCCACGACTGCCTACGCCGTGCTCACAGCGGCCGGCGCTCACGGTGAGAAAAGATCAAATAAAGTAATAAAAAAACAACTTCGATTTGTGCGCAACCGTGCGTGATGTGCGATGTTCGAACGTGGCGTGGAAGTGGCAACCCTCTCGCTCCGCTCCAGGATGTCAGGACGGAGATGGCCTTCGCTTGCCCCGTGCCTCATTCCATCTCCCACGGAGAAGCACACAGTTTCGGGCAGGCTGCCATTCAAAGAACATTCCCAATGGCCAAACAGGCAGCCTTCGATTACATTTGTGTTTGTGTTTCCCAATTCAAGTCGAATCCTCTGCGGAGAAGTCGAGGAGACGCGAGGAGAGAGCCCTCACAATGCCCTCCAGTCACCACCGACCAGATAATGGCCTCCCGCTTCTGCGTCTGACGCATTATGCTGAGTGCTGCACTGTGCACGACACACAGAACACCCTCCCTACATGCTGCACATGTAAGAGTCCTGCAGGGCCCATATCGCACCCCCACGTGTGTGCCTTCTCCAGAAATACATTTGCACGAGGAATGACTGAATCCTGCGACACGAGTTCGATTCCCTCCCGCGGCCAACATGAGTGGCGAGCGATGTCTGAAGCGGTGGTCCTGGGCGCTCCACCGAACCCCCGCTGCCCATCATGGTGAAGTATGGTCCAACAATCTCCGGGATCGACATGAGAGTAGGGAGGCCTTAATCCAGCAGTGGACTGATAGAGGGCCGTGAACACACGACTACGTGGATATTCAGAAAGCAAAACAATGTTGGTGCATTCAACGCGTGTGTGGGTGCCACGACCGCGGAGCAACTCCGCAAGCACCGCGACTCCCCCCTGGCCCCCCACCCTGAGCACACCCACACACAGCGCACACACACACGCAGCGCACACCCACAAGCAGCGCAAACACACACACACACGCAGCGCACACACACACACAACCACACGCAGCGCACACACACACCCACACGCAGTGCACACACACACGCAGCGCACACACACACGCGCAGCGCACACACACACGCAGCGCAAACACACACATAGTTTCCAGGCGGGGGATCGCCTGGCACCACGAGTTTTCATTCGAAGGGCCCCTAGGTGGGAAGTCCCGCGGTTTCCCGGTGCCAGGAGATTGGCAGACCCTCACAGGACAGGTCACATTGCGGTGCCCCTAAATTGGCTTAAAATTGGATCGGCGCACAAAGTTCACCGGGCCAGCCACAATGAGTTACGCACAACATCGGGGAGGGGGCTGGGGTGAAATATTAAGCGAGCAGAGCAGACAATGAGGTCAGGGGATCCCAGCGCCACAGACCGAATGCACACTAGCCGGGTGTGTATTCGCCAGGCGGACCCCCTTCTAGAGTAAACAGGCTGAGTCAGGAATTAATGAGTGTAGGTGCACAGACAATAGGTCGAGAAATAACCGTCGCAACGCTCCATGTAAGGAAATAAAAACGATTGAAAAACACAGGTAGGCGCACGATGGCTGCGAAGGATGACGTAACCCTGGATTTTTGAAGTCAAGGGGCATAAAAAGGGGAGCCAAAAACGGTTCAGCCCAGATCTGATCTTCAACAGCTTGGCCGCCAAGACCCCCCTGCTGTCCTGCCTCCTCGAGCCACTCGCGACATCCGTGTGATGCCAGCGAGTGCTGCTACGAGGCAGTGATAGGCGATGCTTTTTCGTCATCATCCCTCCAACTCTCACAGCGTCCGTGCGACCCCGTGAGTACAGCTGCGAGGTACGTGACAGGGCGTGAGAGTGTTTGGGGACTTGGGTAGCAGTAAGCTAAGCTCTGCTCGCAGAATAATCCCTCCGGGCAGTGTGCAAGGTTTGCACCGTGAATAAACGTTAGCACAGATCCTCGGTGCGGTGTCTGTGATTTGTGTGCGGGGCGACTGCGTGGGGGGACGCGCGGCGAGAGTGAGGGCAGAGCCGCATCACGAGCGCGTGTTAGGATGTAGTCGCCTGCAGGGGCGCGCGCGCGTTCGCACTGCCGCGTGAGCATGAGTGGTGGTGCACGCGGGCGTGAGTGGAGGAACCCCGTGCGGCGGTGAGCGAGCAATTTAGCGATGTCTCTCAGAGAGGGTACGGTGGAGGTGGTGGACGTCACCTCCCACCTGCCCGGCGAGGGCGGTGGGGGGCACGTCGGCCCCCCCACGTGTACACCACGTGACAATTTGTTTGGTCGTGTTGGGTGGTGGAGGAGGAGGGGGGGTGATGGTGGTGGAAGTGGGGGAGGAGAGGTGGAGGTGGTGGTAGTGGAACTGGTGGTGGAGGTGGTGCTGTTGGTGACACAGTAGGGGGCACAGGTGGTGCATCAGCCAGTCGTCTCAGTCAGTCGACACGTGGCACCTGCTGGGTCTGCTCCGTGACCTCCCGCCGGCGGGTGTTCGACGCTTCACGTGGCCTGAACGTGCATCTAGCCTGGCACAAGCGCCGTGGTGACGTCACCACCACTTCGTGGCGAAGATGGCGGTTGTTGTTGTTGGTGGTGGGGGAGAAGGGTGACCGTCTCGATGCAAATTGGGCGCGACGGATTTTGGTTCGTAACATTCCCTCTGAGAATCAGTTCAGAATTCCCGCACCCCGAACATTTTTTGATTTGTTTTAATTAGTCACTTGTTGGATTAAGTTTCTTTTAATATTTAAAGAGTTAAGTTTGAACGTGTTTTTTTTTATTCAAAGTAAATATATTTAGAAACATTTACTCCATGGCTTATTTTGTTAATTATAGTTTTCAACACCTCTGCCAAGAATTTCTGCACGTGGCCTAATTCACTCGCAACAATTTGGAGCATTGCGTAATGTTAACTTTTTGCCAATACACTGACTGCAAGGATGTGGGCCTCCCTAAGCCACCGTGTCGAGCATGGACGGCTGTATGTCCACACTTCACGACACAGGTCAGCGCGGTTTGGTGAAGAGGAAGAGGGTTTGGCGCAGGGCCAATTCAGACCTCACTCGCCACTGATGTCAGTCGCGTTCCGAGAAATGATCTCGGGTCCCCCGGTCCACAGCAGTGGTTGCAAGGCGTTAAGCATGCAAGCCAGACGACTGGGGATATGCTCAGGTCACTGCGCCTCGCAGAGAGAGAGCTGAGGATGGCGCGTTATGACCGCAAATTGTTCGGATGATCTGAGGGCAAAGCCATTTACGCAGATATTGACTTATCCACATCCTCATCATCCTCTCCCTCTCATCCATTAGGGACAAAGGAGTTTCGTCGCAGTATAAATCACTGCGCATCGGCGAATCTAAACTCAACCGGTGGGATACACGCAGCGCTCAAATGAAAGACGTCTGTCGCGTGACACGAAGGCGTGATTGGGAATGATGGATATTGAAGGCACGCTGCCCAACAGGTTTCCGAGTATCAGACAATCCGTTAAAATCTCCGCACCAAAACTGAGTGACCAAAGCAGCGTTCTGAAAATGTGTTTTTGTCCCAGCTACGTTGCAACCACCCTCCCCGACTTAGGACCTTCCATCCGTCAGCCAAACAACACCCCCAACGCGACACGTGGAGATTTTAACACCAATACTATAACCCATGCAGCTTATTCAACAATCGATAATTGTTGTGTATATTGTCTCATTTGTAGCAGCTTATTTGTCGAGTTCATCTCGCTTGTTCTGTCTTGAATTGGTGCGTCCCATTCCTCCGGTTAGTCTGGACGAGTTATTGGCACACAATCTGTGCATCATTTCCATTCTAATTGATTTTTGCACGCTTTCATTTGCGCATCATCCATTGTGCGAGCAAGAACTGCGATCTGAATCGGATGAATGGACATAAACTTGCAAGTGTCTACTTAACGCTCAAAAGGATGCTGGACATGATCTCTCATTGCATCGAACACGACCCGCAGATGAAGCGCGGTGAAGTGCAGGAGATCCGTGCATCCTCCGCACGGTGCGAGAGACACGCGTCGGCTCTTGACAGCCTTTAGAACTTCTTTTTCTTCTTGTGCACGATGGACACATGGTTCAGGAGCTTGTTAACCACAAGAACGCTTCAGGAGACTTCGTGTCGCGTTGCTGTTCTTCCTCCGTTGAAGAAGCGCAGATTACGGCGCTTCACTCTGTGGGTTCTGCCAATCCAATCTCATTCCATCGACGTCAATGCATCACAGCCCACGTACGGCGCTTTTCTTTTGCAAGACCGGGTAACTGGCTGTGTATGGACCGGGGTAACTGGCTGTGTATGAACCGGGGTAACTGTCTGTGTATAGACCGGGTAACTGGCTGTGTATGGACCGGGGTAACTGGCTGTGTATGGACCGGGGTAACTGGCTGTGTATGGACCGGGGTAACTGGCTGTGTATGGATCGGGGTAACTGGCTGTGTAAGGACCGGGGTAACTGGCTGTGTATGGATTGGGGTAACTGGCTGTGTATGGACCGGGGTAACTGGCTGTGTATGGACCGGGGTAACTGGCTGTGTATGGATCGGGGTAACTGGTTGTGTCGGTGTTACTTATTCACTAGACGTTGCTGGTAAACGTCAAGTTTTAGGATGCTGGTGGCCACGGTGGCTCCACTCCCCTCC